AGAAATGGACCCAAACAAGAACACCAAAAGATCGATTCTGAGCAGTATCTTGTGGGCAGTGTTTGTGAGTGCGTGAAAAAAACAACCTGATCGCACAGTGATGTGGCAAGAGGGTTCCCCATGAGCGAAACAAATTGGCATGAAGCAGGCTGGAAAGCAGGCCGGAAGCATCCTTTTTGAGTTGTCGTCACAGCTTGCCCAAACAAGTCTGTAGATGTACAAGAGCCGGTGCATTTCAATGGGTGTACCAATGTATGTGGAGTTGCCTCTGTTAGACGGGGAGCCCTCCAAAATCACCTGGGTTCCCATTTTATAGGTCCAAACAAAAGCCCCAACAGAATGCACACACACACACAGACACATATACATGTGTGTAATATATTGTGTAGTTACGCATGCAAAAAGATGTAAAAAGCCATAAGTCAGCGCAAAAGCAAGAGGGGTACCTGGTGAGGCAGGTTTCAATTCGCTAGGCCCCACCCTTGCCCCGAGCATGAGGAGGGTCCCATTTTTAAGGGGCACGCTTCCCGTCCATACATTGCTTCGAGGCGGGGAAAGAACATACTTTGCCCCCCTCAGTTTTGCTCAAAAGGCTGGCCCAACCTGAACGCAGTTGCCAAGAGTTCCCTATCGAAACATCATCCCAAAAGGAAACTCTCTTGGAGAGATAATCAGTCAGATGTTTGGTGCCCCAGCTCGGACACCTCAGGAAGCTCAACGGTTGACTCTTGGAAACGCAGGCTGTTGGAAATCCCATTTCGCTGCCAAGTTTACATTCGAAATCTGACGGCCAGACACCGGTTCATCCAAGACACTCCCGACGCAGACTTGGCTGTCGCTTGCAGCCAGCTTCATGCAGGGCGATGCCCAGCAGTGAAAGTGGAAAGACAGGTGGCGTAAGAAACAGTTGCTTGCGTAGTCTTAAGGTGCGAGTGGGCGAAAGTAGATGCTTGTCCCCCTCATTTCGGCAAGTTCAGAGAATCATGTGCTAGGAACGAAATATGTATAGATATATATATATACTAAGACCAGCCGCAGGAGTTACAGACAAGATATAGAGGTTACACAAATTTAGCGGAACCTGCATCTACTTATAACTAACTTCGCAACAGATACAAACAGTTATCCGCAGGTAGTAAGTTCGCAGAAAAAGATACAAAAAGTTAGAAAAATGTAGAAAAAGTTATCCAAACTTACAAAAAGTTACAAAAAGTTACAAAAAAGTTATCGGAGAGCAAAAATCACACGTTGTGGTCAGCACATAATTGCACAAAACAAGCAATGCCTAGATACGAAAGCGGTTGAAAAAGAGTGAAATCTCTCAAGGATCCGTCAATGAACGCTGTCAAAACTCTCTAGCCGCTCAAGACTCTCCACGCTGTCGAAACTCTCCGAAACTCTCCAGCCGCACAATTTTTCTAAGACAGCCGTCGTCGAGTCCGTCAAATCAACACTAGCAGGTTGCCATCCACCTCTATCCAATAGGCAGGGCGGAGCCATTTACAGGAGTTCAGCTGACGCCACGCCTTACAACTTGTGGGCTCAAAAGAAGGCGTCGAAAAAATAGCGTGGCTTTTTTGAGCCCAGGCTAAGGCTTAAAACTTGCATCTCTTGAACCACGCGTCGAAAAAATCGCACCTAGACATTCAATCACTTCGCCGCGGCGACGAAATGCTTCAAGCATGATGCATTCTGACGCCGGCAGCAGCGGCTGCCCCGGCTCCCAGAGCCCAAGGGCGCGTTTTTTTGGGGTTGGAGACAAGTGAAGGCAGTCAAAATTTGGGCTGACACATTTTCAGCGCGCCCCGTTTCAGAATTTTCTGAATTTATTCACAAATTTTCTGACCTCAGCAAATGGAAACAAGTACTGGGCAAGCCTCAAATTCATAATGTTTATGAATTTATTCAGAATTTTCTGAATTTATTCAGATTTTTTCTGAACTCAGCAAATGGAAACAAGTACTGGGCAAGCCTCAAATTCAGAATTTTCTGAATTTATTCAGAATTTTCCTGAATTTATTCAGAATTTTTCTGAATTTGTTCAGAATATTTCTGAACTCAGCAAATGGAAACAAGTACTTGGCAAGCCTCAAATTCAGAATTTTTCTGAATTTATTCAGAATTTTTCTGAATTTGTTCAGAACTTTTCTGAATTTATTCAGAATTTTTCTGAACTCAGCAAATGGAAACAAGTACTGGGCAAGCCTCAAATTCAGAATTTTTCTGAATTTATTCGGAATTTTCTGAATTTATGCAGAATTTTCTGAACTCAGCAAATGGAAACAAGTACTGGGCAAGCCTCAAATTCAGAATTTTTCTGTTTTTTCAGAATTTTTCTGAATTTACTCAGAATTTTCTGAACTCAGCAAATGGAAGCAAGTACTGGGCAAGCCTCAAATTCAGAGTTTATTGAATTTATTCAGATTTTTTCTGAATTTTTCCGTACCGTTAGCAGGTCAGTATTTCAATGCCAATGGATCCCCCCTCAAACCCTTCAGGCCAAAACTCTCAAACTCTCAAATCTGAACCCCTGCAGCTCTCAAATGAGTTGTGCACAAGCTCTGGTTCAACACTGTCTCTCAGCTACACACATCAAGCTCTCACCACTCTTGAGTCACACATGATGTCATGCAAATGTTCCTGCTCGAGTTTGGAGTGTTTGAGAGTTTCTGAATTTGACTGGGCAGCTTCTTTGCTTGCAGATTTCACTGATGCTCGAGTCACACACCATGCAAATGTTTCTTGAGAGTTTGGAGAGTTTGAGAGTTTCTGAATTTGACTGGCCAGCGCCTTTGCTTGCATAATCACTGATGCTCGAGTCACACACCATGCAAAACTCTCATAAACTCTCACCCCCTCAGAACTTTCGAAACTCTTAAACTCTCAAGACGTTCCAGGTTCTCATCAACTCTCAAACCCTGAAAACTCTCATAAGCTCTCACCCCCTCAAAACTCTCCAAACAAAACCCCCGTGATGAGACAGGGGATCCTTTCATTTGAGCCGCTTTTTTACATTTTCGCCAAACAACAACGAAGCCGCCGCGTTTCCTCGCGGATGCGCGCTTGCCTTATGACGGGCGAAAGCCTTGTTTGGACTTAGGAGGCGGCGTTGTCGGCGCCGCCTCAAAAATGTCTCGTTTGGAGTTCGGAGGCGGCGTCGTCGGCACCACCGGTCCCAGATCGCACTTGCAGTCCTTGGCTGCTTGCTGCAAAGCTGACGCGTCTTTGCCCATCAGATAGCTTTCAAATTTCCAGCCGTAGCAAACCGCGCAGATCGGGTCTTGGTGCCAAATTAGGCGTCATGACATGGCGGCCCCGCGTATGCACTTGATCCTAATATAGCTCAAGCTCTCAGTAATCCTCTCACAAAACCGCAGCCGAGGCCAACGCTGGCTGCACCGATGTTGCACAAAGCTCTCAGCAGATTGCTACCAAAACATGGCGAGTTTGCAAAGCACAGCTTACGTGGCGATCAACGAAAACCGACTCGAAAAAAAAAGAAACAGTTATAAAAAGTTAGCAAAACTTATCAAGAGTTACACTCACTTAACTTAGCTTAAAAATCCACTATCGAAACTTATATCTAGATGCGAAAACTTAATAAAAACTTACCATAACTTAAAAACAAATAACAAGTCCAATGAACGATTATATGTCCCCGCAAGTGTTGGAAATGACTATGCCCGAGTTGAGCTAGTTGCCGAGCACTTGCCGAGCGCTTGCCGCCCGGTTGCCGCCTACTTGCTAACTGCTATAACTTGTCGGCAAGCGCCGCGGCTGGTCTTAGTATAGAGACAGGGTGCCTGCTGACGGGACCTTGACCGCGAAAAAGGTGGTCGAAGGTCATTTGGCCATAAAACCTTCATATCCCCTATGACCGTGTCCCGTGACCGCGAAAATCCCACACCCTTCTTTGCCGCAGCCGCTGTCGGTCGCTTTTGGGCATGTTATGTAATGTATATGTGCGCGGGTGTGTGTGTGTGTGTGGCGCGCGTGTTTGTGTCTGCGTGTTTTGTGTCGGCACTCCTACGCCAACACATACTCATAAAACGAAAACCGTTTTCGAAGTTTTGCGGAACTTCACGGATTTTCACGGCCTAGTCACGGACTTTCATACCCTTGTCACGGTGTTTTTCTATCGAAAAACACCTTCAATCGGCTATCCGAAGCTTTCGTAGTGGTTTTGCAACCGGGGAACGTTTAGTTGCCATAGCCTTCACACTCGTCCAGGCGCATTGGTCGCACAAACTTAGGATACAAAACGGCTCTGCCAATATTGAAGGAACAGTTTTGATTGAAACGGCTGAAATTTGTTGAAACGGCGCTAGCTTCTGCAGTTTGGCTAAACAGCACAAATGACGAACCCTTGGAAGACCCAGGTATATACAAACATGTTAACCATGTTTGCATAAATGTATCTATACATGATTGCTCCCGCAACTGCAGCGCGAACACTCACAAACCAGCACCAGTCTTTACCATTGACCTCTTCAGATGGGAAGCGGTTTGGACTGAGACCCGCTACCGGCGGAGTTATTGCGCACGTTCACATACCTGCCTGATCTTGAAAGTGAACAAGACCCGCGGCTGAGAAGCTAAGAGCTTATAAGGTTTGCGAACTCTACTTGTAGTAGCAAGGGTCCTCAAAAACCGCCAGTCGTTTGACAACAAAGGAATGAAAGCAGAAATGGAGTTCCATGGGTCCTCCTCAGCAATTCTTCTTAGGTGGAAAGGGGTGTCTCTTTTTTATGGTGCTCCTGAAATGGTAGTTTTCCATGGTTGTCCTCTTGGTTTCCCTTTAAAGCCACACAAAAAAGGGGCACCGTCAACAGAAAGGCACCCACATATTCAAAGAACCCAAAAGGCCTGCGCGCAAAGCAGGAGCATTCAGGTGTGACTCTTCATGCAACTGTTTTTCCAACGCCAGCGAAGGGGTTCCAACTAATCTTGCATGCACAAACCAGGTGAGTTGAGGGGAGCGGGGTTTTCTTTGTTCATTCGCAATATTCAGGGAATCCCCTCCGTTTAAACCAAAGGCCCCTTTCCAAGTCGAAAGCGGTCAACCTAATCCAGCGGAGACGCAGCCGCAGCTGTCCCAGCTGCAGCTGTCCCTTCCAAGGCTCTCGAGACTCGCATCACTTGCGCTGGCTCTGGCTCTCGGTGAAAGCCAAGGATGGCAACGACGATGTCACCTCAGACTGCCGCAAGCTTTGCGGGCACGGGCCCAACGCTCCCTCTGTTAATGTAGCTCAACCTGATTTAGGAAGACTTCTCTTGTGGAGCTGAATGCTAAGAAAGAAGCAGCTGCTGATTTCAGTAAACACGCCATGTGTTGCTTGCACGTGTTTTCCTTAGTTTGAGATGCTACAAACAACTGTGGCTGTGCATGAAAAACAGCGTGGGGGCACTGCCCTGACATGTTAAAAAGATAAAATGATGGGCCAAACGGGGGCGCGTCCAAGTGGCACAGCTGGCGTGGGGAGATGCGAGTGCACCACAACTTCACACCATTCCAGTCCTCGCCGCGCGAAGGAGTCAAGGGTATTTGGGCGTCGCCAGGTGCGGACCCCCCGGTACGTGGGCGGCCTCTCTTTGGTTTGTACGAAAGCAAACCAAACAGCGTAGCCCCACGTATACGTCGTGCGCAATACAGCACAAAGGATCCGGAACTAAAAGCGTACATCATTTTGGGACCGTGACTAAACGTGGACCCAAAAAAATCAACGGGCGAACAAACCGTTATAATGAAGTTTGATTCCTTTGGAGAAGCTGTGGAATCATGCGGGCTGCACGGACAGCTTCGATCGGACATCAGCATTGCTCGTGGTAAAGCAAAAGAACCAAGTGACGGAACGCAGTGTCGCTGTCTCTCATGAGAAGGATCCAAATGGTCCAACTTGGAACAAGGATGCCCAAGGCCTCTCCCCTCGTCAGCTCGTGGTGTAAAGCCAATGGGCGGATGACCACCCTTCCCCAAGCAACCCATGGCAATCTCTCCTGCTCCGGCAGCAGGGCCAAACCCTGACAGTAAGGCTTCAAGATGTCATCCACATGTTCCAGGAAGAGCCCCCAGGTGTCGTCCGGGCAGGCGCCCCACACCGGCCGCTTCTTCCAAAGAGTGTACCTGGGAGTCGGGAAGGACCACCCCAGAGCTTATGTGAGTGTGTCTGTTTTAAAGGGACCTCCCAAGATGGCTTTGCTTTTCCTTGCAACCAGCCAAGCTTTGCTCGGTGCGGAAAAAGAAGACTAATTTACATTGAACAATAATCGCGAAGAAAAGGAAAATAAATTAGGTAAGTTAGGTGCCGCGCATCCGCCCAGTCATTTGCCATTCATGTTGGGGAGGTGGACGAGCCCATTTTTTGACACTATGCAACCGGGCTCTCGTGGATAGTGCACGTATCCACAAAAATCTGCTTCCAACTATATTGGGTGGTGTGTGTGTGTGGTTGTGTTTGAATTTGAATGATTGATTCTGGCTTCCGTTCTTTGATGCTCTTTGTTTGTTCCTTCAGTTCCTTGTTTCTGTGTTTGTGCGTGTTAGTGCTTGTGTGTGTGTGTGTGTGCGTGTGCGTGTGCATGCGCGCGCGTGCGCCCGCGTTCCGCGCGCATGCGTGCGTGCGTGCGTGTGCGTGTGCGCGTGTTCGCGTGTGTGCGTGCGCGCGCGCGCGAGTGTGTGTTTTGTGTGTGTGTGTGTGTGTGTGTGTGTGTGTGTGTGTGTGTGTGTGTGTGTGTGTGTGTGTGTGTGTGTGTGTGTGTGTGTGTGTGTGTGTGTGTGTGTGTGTGTGTGTGCGTGTGCGCGGGTGTGCGCGTGTTCGCGAGTGCGCGTGCGCGCGTGTGCCCGTGCGCGCGTGCGGGCCCGTGCGCGCGGGCGCGGGCGCGGGCGTGGATGGGCGTGGGCGTGGACGTGTGCGTGTGCGTGTGCGTGTGCGTGTGGGTGTGGGTGTGGGTGTGGTGTGGGTGTGTGTGTGTGGGTGCGTGTGTGTGTGTGTGGGTGCGTGTGGGTGTGTGGGTGTGTGCGTGTCTGTGTGTGTGTGTGGGTGTGCGCGTGTGCGCGTGTGTGCGTGTGCGCGTGTGCGCGTGTGCGCGCGTGCGCGTGTGCGCGTGTGCGCTCGTGTGCGTGCGCGCGTGCGCGCGTGCGCGCGTGCGCGCGTGTGCGTGGGCGCGCGGCGCGTGCGGGCGCGTGCGGGCGCGTGGGCGTGCGCGTGGGCGCGTGCGGGCGCGTGCGGGCGCGTGGGCGTGCGCGTGCGCGTGCGCGTGCGGGTGCGGGTGCGGGTGCGGGTGCGGGTGCGGGTGCGGGTGCGGGTGCGGGTGCGGGTGCGGGTGCGGGTGCGGGTGGGTGTGTGTGTGTGTGTGTGGGTGCGTGCGTGCGTGCGTGCGTGCGTGCCTGCGTGCGTGCGTGTGCGCGCGCGCCTGTGTGTGTGTATCTGTGTGTCCTTCTATGTGTGTGTGTGTGTCTCTGTGTCTCCGTGGGTCTCTCTGCGTGTGCTGTTGGCAACCCTCAAGAGGAAGCCACCGCTTGAAAGGGGACTCACCCCTTCGAAAATGGGGCAAAGGAATTTTATAAGAGCTTCAAGGGCTCGGCAACTTCAGCTTGCTCCGCTAACAAGCGCGCGGAAAGAAAGGTGTAGAACAGACATGCCGTTTCCCTCAGCTCGCACTACTACGAATATGAGACATGGGGTTGCAGATTGCTGCTTAGTGGCCCTTCAGCCAAGATCTTTAGCAGCTTTGCCGGGCTCAGCCCGGCTGCTTCTGGCACCTGGGGCGTGAGGGTCACAAACATGTTCGCCAAAACTTCTTCAGATTTATTGCCAGGGAAACCATGGGATATTCTCTTTTTTACTGGTCTTGGAAACGGAGCCTAACAGGCCGCAGCACCTGCCACGACCCCAGCTTGTCCCAAACCCGCTGGCTGAGGCTTCTTCCCAGCGCTAGGCCAAACCAGTCTGGCGCCAAATCCGTTAAAACAGAAGCCAACAACAATCTGGGCGAGGCGAAGGAACACGAGATATCACAAGGGTCTCAAAGGCTGCGTCCGTGAACCTATTGTAGCGCCTGCCGCAAGCCTAGTTCAACTTAACAATGGGAAGCCAGAGCAAGGCGCCTACAGCCTACAGAGTCCCACGTGTGCATGAAAGCCCAGGGCCCCCAGCTTGAGATAGCTGATGTTGGCATGTCCTGGCAGGGAACTTCCACGGTGAGCGGGCCAAGCAAACCTAACCTTTGCTTTCTCTTCGGGTTCGCTGAGCCGTTTTGAGCTGGAAACCCAACAAAAAAGGGAAAGCAGGATGCCACTGAACAGCTGGGTTTTGCAACCCGCGGGAACTCAGAAACATACCCATGCTGGAGTCCTACGTGCATCCAACCACAATCCTGCGATAGAAAGGGCAACCATTGCATGTCAAAGGGAACACATGCCCCGACAGAGAATAAACATGCTCAACACAAGTTAAACAATCAAAGCGCGGGCCAACATTAGCGAAATCAGGGTGATTTTGTTTGTCATCTTTAAGGAACAGTTCTTCGGGCTGCTTCGCCGCAGGCCTCAGATCACCCTCCGTTGACGCCATTGAGGGACAATGGAAACAAGCACAGCAAAAGTGACAGATTCCATATGGTGCCATGTGGTCACACACAGCGCCGCTGCAAGAAAAACACAACACGACGGAAGCTTGCCGACTTGCAGGAAGCCTAAATCCAAGCAGCAAACACACGAACCAGGCAACTGGACCGACCAAGCGAGATGGAGTAACTTTGCGGCATCTCGCCAGATGAACTTGGAACACTTTGTTGCCCTAATTACTATGTTGTCAAGTCCCCTGAGAAAGCAAACGGCGCACCGAGCGCATCTCGTACCTCCTGTGTGCGTCCTGTGTCTCCGGGTCCGTACACGTAATATAAAAAAATAGCTGGGCCTTCCGAGGGTTTCCCTAGACGTCATGTTTAAGGCAAGAGCTTGAACATTTTCTTGCCGCCCTTAAAACTTCCTGTTTCGTGTTTGCTTCGCGGCAGAAAGTCCATGTCTGACCGCAGCCTGGCAGTAATTTGGAACAATGTCATGACCAGTTTTTTCTGGGAGGCAGTTGGTACTCCGCCACAGCGGCATGGTTCTTGCTGCCTTCTTGCCGCAACAAGAGCTACCCCTCTACAGCAATCAGCACAAGGAAGCCCTCTCGCCCTGAACAAACCCAAAACAGCAAACAACTCCCACACACATGCCGACAGTGAAGTGAGAAATGCCCAGTTTGGACATGTCGGTCAACCTGGCAATGGGTCGCAGAAGCCCAACAAATCATGCCCCAGGAGAGCCGCAGCCTCAAGGTCTTCTGCACCCTCTTGCCTCACGCAAGTGTCGAAGAAAAAACAACCAGAACATACATGTAAGATCATGTAGTTTTTCTCCTTCTAGTCTCCAGAGAAAAACACAAAACAGGCGGCAAAAAAATGAGTTTTTGTTTCCAATCACACGGGTCTTGCCGAAGCCTAAGATTCGGAACTGAATTCCCATGGCTCTCCAAGTCCCATGGTTGCTTGAGTCTTTCAAGGCCACAAATATGACAAGGACCACAATCAGCGTTCGCGCGCTTGTTCCTGAGCCACGTGCAGCTGGTACAGCGAGCTGCACAAGTGAGACCTTTCATGCGTTTTTCCCCAGATAGCTGAAAGCCATCGGGGTTCTAACTTCTAATTAACGGGGGAAAGTTATTTGCGAGATTGAGGGTCGGGCGCTAGGGGGCAGGCAGTTTAGGGTGCTGGAGGTGCTGTTTTGCGAGATCGACGGCTGGGTGCTAGGGGGCATCCAGCTTGGGGCTGGTGGAGGTGCTATTTTGCGAGATCGGCGGCCGGGTGCTAGGGGGGGCCTGCAGTTTGGGGTACTGGTGAAGGTGCTGCTTTGCGAGAGTGACGGCCGGGTGCTAGGAGGCATGCAATTTGGGGTGCGGGTGGAGGTGCTGTTTTGCGAGATTGACGGCTGGGTGCTGGAGGGCAAGCAGTTTGCTATGCTGGTGGAGGTGCTGTTTTGCGAGATTGACGGCCGCGCTGGGGGGCATGAAGTTTGGGGCGCTGGTGGAGATGCTGTTTTGCGAGAGTGACGGCAGGGTGCCATGTGTGGGCGTGTTGCCGGTGTGACCATGCTGCGGTCTACATTATCATGATGCTGCCTGCATCGTCATGATGCGGCCTGCAAAATAGTCATGCTGCCTGCTTAAAAATGATGCGGCCAGCGTAAAAATGATGCTGCCTGCGTCATCATGACGCTGCTTGCATCATTAAGGTGCTTGCTGCGTACATTGCCGTGATGCTCTTGGTAGTATTATAATCCTTGCGGCGTTCTCATGGTTTCGCTAGTCGCATTCATGTGCTGCCGATCATCACCAGGATGCAGCGTATATCATGGCATGGTGGTGATGCATCATCATGATGCTGCCGGTAGGATCCTTCGGCATCATTATTATGCTGTTGTTGAGTTCTCATGGTGTTGCCAGCATGACCATGCTACTGCCTGCATCATCATGATGCTGTCTGCCTCATCGTGGTCATCATGATGCTGTCTGCCTCATCGTGACGCTGCTTGCATCAACCTGGCGCTGCCTGCATCATCATAATGCTGCATGCATCATCGTGATGCTGCTTGCGTCATTAAAGGCGCGAGCAAAAAACGCTCTCGGTACTATTAGCATGTGTTTGCCTGCTTTACCATGATGCTGTCTGCATCACGATGGCGCTGCCGGTATCGGTATTATGCTTTGCGCTTTCTGATTTTGCTTAATTGGATGCTGCCAGCATGATCAAGGTCTTGTAGGTAACAAGGGGATAGGGCGGGTTTGGGGTACTTTTCGGGGTGCTGTTGGAAGGTGCAGGCGCGTTTTGGTGAGATTGAGGGCTGGCTGCTAGGGGGGTGCTGAGTGTGGCATCATGATGCTGTTGAACCCATTCGAACGTTGTTGCTGCTCTAGCTGTCGCGCGTAATGGTTCGTGGCTGGTGTGTCATCATGATGTTGTCGCGATCTCATTCTGCTGTCACAAATGCTTCGTGGCTGTGGCATCACCATGATGCTGCTTTCACCATCACCATGATGCTGCTCGCATGATCATGATCTTCCTTGTCTGATGATTGTGTTTCGATGAGAGCTTCTGAAACACCTAGGTTCTGCCAATGTCCGACAACAGATCGGGCCAGTGCAAATGGCAATCACGCTCATATTCCCCGATTCCGAGACCTGAGCTGTATAATTTTATTGTAATTGGAGGATCAAGAACTTTGAGGTCAGGAATGCTTTTGTTGCCACTTCCGATTAACCCGAGAAGGCGATTGATTGGATTCAGGAAGCATTGATCTGACCAAACCCTGGGTAACCTTTGCGATTCCACCTTGCTCTGGCGAACGTCCTGGAGGGTGGCTTTGCGCGGCAAGTCGGTATCTTGAAGGGAGAGGGCAGCAGAGATTGCAGATTTGCGCGGAACCGTCCTGACGGTTCACAAACCGCCTATACATCAGTTTTGCCCTTTTGGCAATTCAAGGGGCTTGTTGTCTGTTGGCCTAGCTGGATCAGTGGTTCGCTTCTGACCACAGTGATGCCGATGGAGAACTGGCCAGCGCGCCTGCCTGAGCAGTGCCAAACCTACAACTCAATTCACATCGACATCCTAGTGGCCGGCCACAAGGACTGGGTGACGGTCGCCGCAAGATTTTGGATTTCATTCCCGGCGATCCGGTCACGCTCGGCGAGCAATCCGCCCCCAAGCAGGCTTCAATCTCAACTTTCTCGACGCACGCCGAATTGTGATGTGTAATGTGTTTCAATGGCCGCGTGAGACGTTCGGCGTGGGCTATTCACCCCCCGTGTCCGAGTTGGAAACAAGAGGACGAATTGTTTAGGATGCAACATTCACCCATGAGGTCGATCAGAGCCAGGCGCCTCTTGCAAGCGATTCACACTTCCGCAGGCCATCACTTTCGCGAGGCACAAGATCGGCCCTGCATATCGGAATGAGTAAAAAAAAGAACCTGACACATGCAAAAGATTGAATGGAAAGATGAACTGCTGCCAGCGGTGGCCCTTCCAGGCACAATTGCCCTCCTTCCAAAACGGCGCCCCCAGCCGCCCCATGTCGCTTTCGGCGGAGCCATCGTACCAGCAAGACCATGTGCCATAGTCAAAACCCAGACCGTCTCGAGGACAAACTAGCGGCATCCGCTGGACGAGCATTTCGATCTCAATGTCCCATGGCGGGACAGGGCCATGCAAACGCGACCTCTTGACGCAGTACAACTGATGCCGAACAAGTTGCGCAAGGAGCACGCGTCCAGCATAGACCCCAGATAGCACACCACGGCTACGAACCATAACGCAGCGGCATCATGATGATGTTGACAGCATCATGATGATACCACAAGAGAGGCGCACAAAACGTCCTAATGAGTTCAGCAGCATAATGATGACGTTGAGCATGCTGCTGATACACCAACCACGACCGATTCCGCACTACATATCGAGCAGGAAAAGGGCAGAGACGACGTCCTGATCAGTTCAGACGAGGACGACGAAGATGCAGGTCAACCGGCGCCTTCTCCGACTCCGATCTTTCTAGCTGTTTCCAGTAGCAACACCGCTAGCGGCCCAAGCGGGAGCGGATCCGTCGTTGACACAGGGGTCGAATCCAACCAATGACCCACCATGCAGTGCTGGGCCACACTAGGCACAGGTAGGGCCGGCGTAACCCAAACGCGATCTAAGCAATTCGTGGCATCACAATTCGGCGTGCGTCGAGAAAATTGAGATTGAAGCCTGCTCAGCTGCGGATTACTCGCCGAGCGCGGCCGGATCGCCGGGAATGAAATCCAAAATCCTGCGGCGTCCGTGTTTTGTGTCCGGCCACTAGGATGTTGGACAGCTTGACGCAAAAATGGCCTGCAATGGTGTAAGACGACCTGCACCTTGACTTCAGCTCTAGTTTTAGCTGTAGTTTTGGCAATGCTCAGGCAGGCGTGCTGGCCAGTGTTCTTCATCGGCATCACTGTGGTCAGAAGCGAACCACTGATCCAGCCAGGCCCAACAGACAACAAGTCCCTTGAATTGTCAAAAGGGCAAAACTGATGTATAGGCGATTTGTGAACTGTAAGGATGGTTCCGCGCAAATCACAAATCTCTGCTGCCCTCGCCCTTCAAAATACCGACTTGTCGCGCAAAGCCACCCTCCAGGATGTTCGGCCAGAGCAAGGTGGAATCGCAGAGGTTACACGGGGGTTGGTCAGATCTAACGCCAGGCAGTCTGCCTCTGCACTTTGTGGCGACCCTTTGCCGGCCCCAATTCAGGGCCGCCCCAAAACCCGCGGAAAAAACATGTCCGGTCATGACTGTTCTGTTTTAAAGCCTTTTTATGGGAAAACAACAATTCGCAACGGGAGCAAGCACAATTAGCAAGCGGCCTGGACATTTCAGGTGGAGCACGTGCTTTGTGTAAAGCACCGACCGTTATTTGTCGAAACCCAAAACGCAACGAATTGGACGTCCAGGTAAGTCTGATTTTTCCCTGGCCGCGGCACAGCCCCAAGAGCGTCGCCCAAAGAGAAGACAGCCGATATGCAAGATTTGGTCATGGCCATTTCGCTCGACAGGAGGGCGCGCTGGCACACATCTTTCCTGGTAAACCACGTGGAAGGAACTCCGGGCAACAATTGCCCAAAACAATCCCTCCCTACATTGAGTTGGGGGCAGTGTTGCACGCATTTTCCAGCATGGGCGTCGTCGTGTGTTGCTACTCGACCCTTGTCCATGCTCACTACC